AGATGTAAGTGGGTAGTATTCTTATTTGTATGACAATACCTTGGCAGCCAGTTGTGGAGTTTTGCTTGTGTATCCTGTCTGTGGCATATGACATGCTTGTAGTTAAATAAAAGCAACAAATCCTTGGCATAAAAGATTATATTTGTAGGATGGGTGGCACTGTAGCTCATAAGAACGTCTTCAGCAGAACTTGATGTAGTCCAATATCAAGGCACTCCACTTTTATTTGGTGGGTCTGGATTACACCAAGCCATCTGACTGAGTGGAGGTGTTCTTATGAAGTTGTACAGGCCATGTGCATCTCTTTGAAAAGTTAATATCCTATTACTGCAGACTGTGAGTATCTCTGAATTGTTTTAACTTCCTTCAAAGAGACCTTTCAGGAGCCAAGAATGTATGGTGAATGTGTGCACAGCTTCTGCTCAATTCCTCAAAATTCCTATATTTCTCCTATATTTTGAAGGATAACCTCCTATATTTCCTATATTTTGTCCCATCTAGTGGCTAGGAGGTATGGAATTTGTTGAAAAGCCAAAAGGTTTACACGGTAGTAGAAAAGGTTTATATTTTGCAATTAACAATAGAGAAATGCCAGACATTTTCTCATGATATCAGTTATGCATATTTATATTATAGTATATTTATAGATATTTATATTTTAGTATGCAGTTGTGTTCAAACAAGAAGCAGCGCATGATGATGCCATTTGGTCGTGTGCTTGGCAATGCAATGATAAAGATGGTGTTGACAACATTGTGACTGGTTCTGTTGACAATACTGTCAAGATTTGGAAATGGTGAGCAATGCTTAGATCTACCTATGTGACCATATATAGCCACAATGCTTAATCACCAACCACAGTTTATTTGAAACTTTGATGTAGTTGTGCACGGTTTGTGTGTGCAACTTTTTCATTCAAACTTCTACATGCATACACTGTACACAATTTTGAAGGGAATGTTTTGCATCAGATGATGAAAATGCAATCAATTTTTTTTACAGCGAACAATGATGCATTTGTTGTTGTTGCTGATCCTGATCTTATGTGCATTGTTTTGAAAACACCCCTTACAAAAAGAACAAGCTTTAGAAACAATAGTCGTATATATAAACCAGGACGAATACAGAAATCTGATATTGATAGAGTTATTACTATGAGAAAACCCTAGTTACATAACTATATGAACAGCTTCAGATACATTTTATAACCTTTTCTAGGACACCTCCAATAGAATCATTGAAAAAAACGAATAAAATGTAATGTATGGTATTATTAATTATACTGCACATGCATCTAGGTTACATTGTCTGACACAATTTCACAAGTATTTTTATCATATCTTCTTGTGTTGTTAGTGCTAATTCTAGCAAAATAGCTAAACACTATAGCAATGTAAACACAGGATCAGTATCATGCGAATTGCATTACTTGATTGAATTCCAACACACATACTCTGTGATTGAATGTCACAGGACGAATGATGAGCTGGAGCTACGGCATACATTAGAAGGTCATCAGCTTGGCGTTGTATCTGTTGACTTGGACTGCCATGGAAAGATTGCAGCGTCAAGTTCACTTGACAGTTGTATTCGACTCTGGGACATAGAATCTGGACAGCAGCTGAAAGCGATTGATGCTGGCCCAGGTAATAGCTCTTTGATGCTGCCTTGGAGAGCAAAATGGCATTCACATTACAGTTACAATACTTATTGTTATATCTAAAATATCTATATTTGTGTACACTGAGGTTGAAAAAGTTACTGTAGTTACTATAGCAAGAAGTTCTTCGTGTGGCTAAACTGACACTAGTGCATGTTCAAGTTGTTATGACAAGCCTCCTTATTGAAAAGAAATTAAATGTCTAATCTGGGTAATGCTATCTATTGACATGCTTCCATTGACGTGTGATTGTAATACATTCTAACCACTTTTAATGTGATGTAATGTTTAGTGGACTCGTGGTCAATCACCTTCTCTCCGGATGCCCAGATACTAGCTACAGGCAGCCACACGGGCAAGATCAACCTGTATGGAGTGGAGTCCGGAACAAAGAAGTCTGAACTTGAGACAAGGGGAAAGTTCACTCTCAGCATTGCATATGTAGGTGCTTTAGAAAAGTGCAAGTTACATTAAATGGTTAATATTTTTGAGGGCACTGCTAGTTGTGTATGTTAGAAAACATAAAAGTGAATGGGTTACACTATAGTAACAAAATTGATGTATCTTTAAAAAAAGCAATAATTCTTTTTTTATATACTGATGATATTATTTTTGATTTAGAGCCCAGATGGAAAGTATCTTGCAAGTGGTGCCATAGATGGAATTATTAACATATTTGATGTGACAACAGGAAAGGTCATTCACACATTAGAAGGTTAGCTTTATAACTAAATTTATTTAGCTTAATAATTCTGTCATCGTTAATTAAGATCCGTCTGAATTTTCTATAAATATTTTTCCAAATGAGTTTTTGTCTGTGTAATTCCAGGCCATGCAATGCCTATCAGATCGTTGGCATTCTCTCCCGATTCTCAGCTGTTGGTTACTGCCTCAGACGATGGACACATAAAGATGTATGACGCGTAAGTACATGCTGACCACATTTGCAAGTAGACACGTTCCTGCCATTGTATAGAACACGACTATCTATTGGTGTTTAGCTCACCTTGACATCGTCAAGCTGAGCTATTGCCATGGGTCGTCGTACGTCCGTCCATCCGTCCGTCCGTCAACATTTCGCTTCGGTCAACGATAACTCAGGAACCGTTTGTTCGACAACCCACATGTTTGAAATTGGGTATAGTTGTTACTGCTATGCTCCCATATTAAACGTCCAATTTTGAAGAACACCAGTCGACGTACTTTCGAGCCACGGCAATTTTTTGGCAAAAATGGGAATTGCCATTAGTCAGTTCAGGTTCAACGGATTTTGCTCATTTTTGGTATGTGAATGAATAAGGGCTAGGGGTTTTGATATTTAAAAAGAAATTATGCAAATTAGGTAGGGTTTGGCAATTATATAGCATATTATATAGACACAAACAGTCTGTGGTGTCACACTCGTCTGGTTCGTTTTACAAGATTTCATTGACAATATCTTTAATGCAAAATTGGTATTTCCTCTCCAACCTGCCGATAAAACGTCTATATTAGAGTAAAGATTTGCAAAACATGTCGGAACGCAGCATAACCTATTTATTTCAAACGCCATCGCTACAAAGCGGGTATAGCGCCATCTACGGTCACAAATTGTGATTCATTTTGGTTTATAAATTATTGCGATATACAGATGGCAATCGTTTCTATAATGTAAGTCGATGGTTGCTCAATTAAAATTGACTTCTTCTTACTCACTCATTTGTGTCCTTTTTTGTGGTGAGCTACAGTGTCATTGACACTTTCATTTGTTCTACATTGATGTCGTCACATTTTTTTCACAGGCAAAATGCTCACCTTGCGGGTACGCTAGCAGGCCATGGGTCATGGGTGCTGAGTGTTGCTTTCTCTCCAGATCAGATGCATTTCGTTTCAAGGTTAGTTAAAAAATTCATTACATGCTTTGTCATACTCTACTGTATGTGCTATTCTTATTGTAAAATTTGACTTTTCATTTCAGTTTTTGTTCAAGTTTTTTAATGGAGAATTTATGATGCATAGAATTATGACCATTTCTGTAGAATAGTAGCCAAATATTGACACGTTCGTACTTTTTGCGATAGCTCATCGGATAAGACAGTAAAAGTGTGGGATGTAGGCAAGAAACAGTGTATACACACATTCACTGACCACACTGATCAGGTATTCTTATGTAGTGACATAACATGTATCTAATAGTAAATACTATTTTTACCATGTTTGTTTGATCAAATTGTTATGTTTTACTTTATCGAATCACATTAGCAAGAAGCCAGAGTAGAATAGTTTTAATAAACATGAGATTATTTACTGCACATCTATGCTGCATTTACAAGTCAAATGTTGATACGATGTATACATGATCAAGATAACCTATTGCTTTGTTACTAACAGAAACACCAAAGTTACTGTCCCATGCTTGCTCATCCTAAGGTCAGGCTCTGGTATTTGTTTTCCATTTATAGGTTTACATGAACATATCGCACTGATATTAATCTTCATTATTGCAGGCGTGGGGAGCCCGATACAATGGCGATGGGTCCAAGCTAGTTTCAGTTGCTGAAGACAGGGCTATACACATCTATGACTGTCCATTGTGAGTTGGTCCATATCTCACACGTTTGTGAGCTGTTGTATACAGTTTGTATAAATGATGTGTGCAGTTAGAATAACTTTGTATGTATGGGAAGCAATGCATTTTTTATCAAAATATCTGAACATTAGTCTGTAACCACTCGCAAATTATCAACTCGACCTGTTACGACTTTGACATTGAAATTTGCATTGTGCGATTGATAGTAAAATCTGAACATAAATTTAGTATTAGATAAATCTCTATACGTTAGTAATAGTCAGTCACCCAAAAAATATTGCTATTTTGCATGGGATATGTTGAGATGTGAAACATGCAAAAAGTAAACATGTTGTTCATGAATACTTTGCAAAAATATGGTAACGTGAAAATGTGTAAATAAAGGATAAATGGCTTGTTTTAAAATAATTTTGATTTTGTGTCATGTTAGAATTTTTTTTGCAACATGCAGAATACTGTGGAATCTGAATTAGAACTGATTGCAATTTTCCAGTGAGTAGCATGTTTTAAAACAGCAGTGCATCAGGTGCATATAATGTGCATTAGCATATAAAACATGTAACTCGAGGTTAGATAATAGACATTTTGTATTATAACTTATTATAACTTAAGTTGTAAACAACACACTATTAAACTTGGCTTTTGATAGGAAACCATTATAAAATTCCTTGGCTGTCATTTGCTTCTTCCCAAGTGGACATATGCCCCCAAATGCCACCCACCCATCCTTGCATTTGATGCACAATAATTGTCGACACTTGTGGTAGAAGCTACTGCCTGGAGGCTTTTCTCCACCACTCTCCACCACGAGGTTATCACACTGCTGTAATGGCAACATATTATAGAGTTTGACTGGTTCGCGATTCCACAAGCAATGCAGAGGAAACGTCTCGCTGAGTGCGCGATATCTGATGTTAATGTCGTTCTTAGTGTTCACACAGAAATTTACTGCACTCATAGAAGCAGTAAGTTTTGGTGCTTGTGTGATGCCTTCTTTTGACTGCGCCTTGGCATTGGCGACAACAGAGGGTAACTTCTCTAAACAGTCGACTAGCTGAAAAAGGAGTGTGAAAGAAAAAGAGAAAACTATTAGCAAACATTCAGTTTTAACCAGTAAAACTTTCTCAGACTAGATATAAATAACGTAACACAATGATAAACAATTAACATTTAAAGATTCAGAGATCTATTCAGACTAAAAAATAGGCAGAGATTTAATTTCCACTAAGTAAAGTAAATTGCTAAAAAAGCTCCTCAAGAAAAAGAATTACACTAGCATTGTCATATTATTTGTAAATGTGTAATAATGGAAATAGCAATTCTGATAGTTCATATTGATTACCGGGTTAATTTGTTATTAATTTGAAAATAGTTAATTGTTAGAAACATCACAGTGGTTCTTAGTAACTTGCCATCATTGCCCCTTTCTGTGCAAGCTGTTGCCTAAGTTTTGAAGCCATGCAGTTCTCAGGTACTGGAACTATCTCTTGCTTTAGTACAGGGCCTACATCAAATCTGTAAAAATAGGAATACTTTAGCATTTGAATTGTATACATACAACAATACTAAAGTACAAACATGAGTCTAGGTTACAGGGCTGTCTGTTGTTTAACAAATTTGTTTGTAATGGGGAACTCTGAAATGCCAGACTGAAAGAGATCTTATCGAGGTACAAATTTGAGACCACCGGATAGCTCACCATTGAAAGTACGACAGCGCTGTGCCAGGGGGCGACAAACCCGCTTGCCTGGGGCAACCAAAATTCGCCCCCGGGCAAGTAGCTTGAAATTGCACTTGCCTGCTCGGGCAAGCAAGTTTTTTTTATTGAATGCCTAGACATAATGATATTTTTCTTGGTTTTAATTGATACTTTCCACCCATCCCTTGCATTGTTTTGCACAGACACAACATTGCGCTGCCTTGCTGCGACGAGATTTGAATGAAAAAAACACAATGCGAATGAAACAATCGGTGCATACAGTCATATACATAACATGCACACAGCATGTAAACCCGGCCCCCAGGCCAGGCATGGTCGTTACAGGATCAGCTACATCAAATGTTTGCCCCTCTACTGCAGCCCGTGAACGAGTATTTTCTTTGCTAAAGTACACAAAAACAGATACACAAACACAAACACAACAGATACACTGTATACTGAGCTGTCAGTCTACTGTCTACAGTCTACAGTCAGGTACTGTTGAGGGTATAATTTCAATTTTTACATTGTTCCCCCCACCCCCAATTTTCTCAACGAATTTAGACGTTTCACAAAATCGACCCCTGGGACTGTCAAATCTGCGGAAAAATCTCATCCCTGTTGTCATCTTACTGACCTCGGCTGTATCTGCATGATTGTGACTGCTGCGTGCGTGTCTCCGGCCAGAATTGTGTGGTTTACAGGGGCAGCACCTCGCCAGCGAGGCAGAGCGCTAGGATGCACGTTCAACATGCCCCTGTAAAAATACGATAGCAAAGATGAATAGACTGCTATTAACGTTTAGTTTTAATTCACAATTCACTGTACGTGTCACACTTGACGAAGGATTGCTTTCACTCTTGTTAAATTCATATTCCCTTGTGAATCTCCCACTTGAGCTTTGTATGATGCAAACTTCTGCGCTAGAGTATAATCAGACAAGATGCAAAAACTAAAACAGATTATGCAGTGGTGTAGGAAACAATATATTTGATGACTCACCATGGGAAACTCTCAATGGTAGCAGGTGGTATAAGGTGTCCGAAAGATACAATGATACCGACGTCGTATCGATTCATTGGGACGCTGTGTGGCCAGTCATGAATTTTCAGTCCTTGCTCAATCGCAAACTGCCTCACGCAGGATGGAGGCAACTGAAGGATATAAGAAAAAAAACATTACTTATCATAGCTGATCTCAATTTGATATCAGAGCTTAGCAGAGAATAACGTCTCAGGAATGTAGGTCTCACCTGACCATTTGGTTCGTAGACAGCTCTAGAACTATAGCCCTTCGCTCTGCCAAAGGCAGCGTGCCGGTACACTGCACACTGCTGGCCCACAGGCATACTGCAAGCTGCCTGTGGCTGAGCGAAAGGCTATAGTTCTAGACCTAGTTCATAGACTGCAATGTCTGGTGTGAAACAGGGCACGACATTAATAGTTTTACTTATTAATTATATTACAGTACTACGGCTAATAGTAAGGCTCATAGCCATGGGATCTATGTCCCCCAGGGTACTATTGGAGGGTATACCCTGGGTGCGGTTTGATATATTGGAACGTACACTGGTAACTATTTGATATGGTAAGGGTTAGGGTTAGGGAGTAGGCGACTCCCTAGACTCGTTAGTGGTGTAGGCGAGGTACGGTTCGGCATATTAGATAGTACCAGGGTACGTTCCGATATATCGAACCGTACCCAGGTTAGGCCTATACCCTCCGATAGGCAATAGTACCCTGGGGAACATAGACCCTCTCAGCCACAGGCACTTGAAGCATTTCAATAAAATATAATGCTAAATAAATACGAAATCTATTTACTACCAAATTCTTAATGTTTCTATACTCTCTTTCACCTATTACTAGTATTAGTATTATTGCCGACAATTTCCTGTAAATTCCGTCCAAATCCTATGTGCAACATACGCTGGCGGCTGCCATTCCTCACGCGGCTGCACTGTGCACACTTACATATATAGTAATATATATAGTAGTATATATACTATATATATAACAGGCTTCATAGTAGTAAGACACATGTTGAAATAAGGACTTATAAGGCCCTTTCTAGAGGCCAAAATAAGACTTTTTATACGCGATTTCTGATAGATCACCGACTATTATAGTACACTAATAATATTTATATACACAATTGCACAGCAGATTTAATTATTCCGTATTATATATACAACAATTCTTACTCTAAGTCGAGAACAGTTTATAAAACAATTTTTATAAAATATTGTAGGTTGCAAAAAATAAGGACTATTAAGTACTTTTCTAAGATTTCACCAAAAATAAGTACTAATAAGGGCCCTTATTTTATTTTTGGCAAAATAAGTACTTATAAGACTTTGGAAGACCCGCTACGAACCCTGTATAAGTGTAAGTGTGCACAGTGCAGCCGCCAGCGTATGTTGCACATAGGATTTGGACGGAATTTACAGGAAACTGCATGTCGGCAATAATAGGTAAAAGAGAGTATAGAAATATTAAGAATTTGGTACTCAGGAATGGGAATGACAATTTGTGTTTTCAGCTGAAAA